AATGAGGGGTAAAGAACAATATGTGGGTGATGATGGACATACTGAGGCAAGACACCTTTACAAAGGAAACCCATTTATTTAATATAAACTGGTTGCTTACAAAGTCTTTCGGAGAGATGCTTCTTCTTGGACAATGATCTTAAGAGTGTTCAAAGATATTATCGTCAATGATATATCCTCAATGTGTTGTCAACAGTCATAGATAAATCCAGAAATAACATGTCAATGATTGATTGAAGTATAAATGCTGGGATGATAATGAGAGGTGGCAGAGAGAAGATAGGAATGATGGTGTATATATATTGTCTATTTGGACCTTGTTTATTAATAGGATTTATTATATTGGTGAAGTTTCTGATTAGCAAAGAGAGGAGATCTTAGTTAAAAGTCAAAACAAAATATCTTTATTTTCATCTGAAGTATTATTCAGAATAACACTTCCAGTTAGACAAGTAAAAAGTGCCTAAGGAAAAACAAGGTGAAGAAGAATCACTTTTGAGCTGGTGCTTGAAGAGAGAGGATAAACTGAAGGCAGGAATGTGAACTGTCTCTTACCCAAGTATAAGGGAATCTTAGAAATCTCTGGGAAGAACTTAGTGCTGGATTTGATATCAAACTTGACCAGTTGTGATTCTCTATCAGTAACCCAACCTCCGGACCACAGACCAGTACCGGTCTGTGGATCAAATGGTACCGGGCCACCCAAGGAACATTAAATTACTGGTATTTCCATTTTATTTACTATGGTGTATTTCTCTCGGGTTTGTGCGACTTTTAATGGACAATGGAACAATAGAATAAACTGGACATAAGAAACACACTTCGGGTGTCATTGTCTCCTATTACCCCCAGATGGAACTGTCTTGTTTCAAAGAAACAAGCTCAGGGTTCTCATTGATTTAGCATTCTAGTGAGTTAAAATGTTAAATCACATTATATTCATTTTTTGGTGTAACTGTATTTTATTTTGAAGGCACGTTTAAATACAATTAAATTAAAATTATTAAATTAAATCAATCTAAAATATAAACAATCAATGTCCCCCCTCAGTGGGTCACAGTAAAATATCAAACGTTGACCGGTCCGCAGCGATAAAAAGGTTGGGGACCACTGAAGTAACTGACTGATTAGTTATAGCTTTCAGGAACTGAGAAAAAAAAGAAGAAAGTGTAATTTTGGTGTAAGAAGTTTCATGTGGCATCTCAAGACAGTGAGGATGAAAAGATGTTTGCAAAACATGGGTATCTTTGTTCTGTTCTGTATGCCATGTTTACTACTTCTTTCCTCCTATCTTTATTTTTCCATATTAGTGTATGTTTAGTATTAAGGATTGCTTATAATTATTGTTATTTATTGTATGGGTTACAAATATCATGATTTGAGTGTTATGGTCATATATAAATTTTGTAATTGTTCTGCCAGTAATCGAGTTTTGGGTTACTGTCAGAGTAACTGTCCTAGAGTTGGCATCCTTTATTGTGTGGTGGTGTGGAGGACAAAAAAAAGATGACAAAGAAGTAACTATAAATTAAACAGGATTTTTATTTAACTACAGTTACATGGTCCTTCGTACACCTGGTTCGTTTACACTAAACACACTTGATCCCAAACTATAGTGCGCACACAAGTTCGAAGCCGTCCGACAAATTTCTATGCTTTCACGGGCAGGAGACACGTGCTCGCGACAATGCAAAATTACGGTTTGAAATACTACAACTAACTTAAATCTACCTTAATCTAACTTATATGCTAAGGAAGAAGAGTGAAGAAATTAAGAGATATGAAGAGAAGAGACAAGTATAAAGGACAGATTTGTGGGGGTACCCGGGTAAACTTGGGAGTCTCCGATCTTCTCTATATCGGTACTTGAATTAACTCAATTTCCTTCCTCTTGATTCCGTCTCTTGAGAATTCGGGAGCGTTTTTCTTGAAGTCTTAATCTGGGTGTCTTTCTAATTTTCGTCCGTTCGCAGAGGACGTCCAAGCCTTCTCCGTTTGTCCCACTAGGTGACAAACCTTTAGCTTGCTGTTTCCTACGTCTGTACACCTCGGACGCTGACCCGAAAGTGTCTTGTTCGTTTTCCTGATGGCCTCAGGGCTTCTTAATGTCCCCTTTGTCTTCTCCCTTTGTCCTTGGACAAAGGTCCCCCACCCATAGAAAAAGAATAGGTTAGAAAGTTCTAGAAACACGTTAAAGACAAAGGAATTTAGGAGAAATAAAATTTATATCTACCCCTATTTACAAAGACATGGCGTACCGCCACAATTGTATCTGTATATAGATAAAATCACAAGTGAATGAAATAATTTTTCTCATATCTGCTGCGAGTTTGGTTTGTTTGGTATTTTACCTTAGTGGGCCAACAAGAATCACAAAGGATTTGTTAATTGTAATGTTTTTTATATGATTTTTTTTTTAGACAAAACACTTTTTAAATAAATTTAAAAGACAAAATTTTTGAAAACATAAAAAAAATTAATTTCAGGTATCTAATTCTTCTAATTATTCTTAACTTGTAAAATTATTATAAGCTATTAAGTTTGACTACTGTTTAATACAGTTCATAAAGCCCTGGTCACACTAAGCGATTTCCAACCACGCAGGCGACTGCAACCGTGACGGCTGTTCCCGTTAACTAGTAATCCCCCTCGAAAACCGGCGCGACTGCAATCGCAACTAGAAACAAAAAGTTTGTTCTACTCGCGACGATTGCAAACGCGCATCCAATCAACAAACGCCTTTATGCCACGTCATACAGTGACAACATTGAAAATAGTTCATCATCATGGCGGAT